CTATAATTAAACAAATATTTATTTGTTGATAATTTTTCAATACTCACGAAATAAACAATTCTTGTAAACAATCTATCAGTTAATATATTTTATATATGTTTTATCGCATGATTTTCAAACCAAAACTGTTAGTATCCGGTCATAAAAACATTATCAAATTATTACAAACAAATTCCCGTAATTATCAATACAATTTACTTAAGGGGTAAAAAGCAGTTTAAACTGATTGCAAAGTTATTGAAAATGTATTAGCCAATAGTTTTAATAATATTAATTAAAAGTTTTCATTTCATTTATAGGTATAATAATATTATTCCATTGAATTGATAGAAATGTTGATAAATATGAATATAATGAAAGCACAGCAATATTGTAATCAAATTAGATTTAAGGGATTATTGAAAACACGTAATCAAATTACTTATTTAGTGCATAAAATCTAAATATTGAATGCATTAACAGTATTAGTGTGAAAGCGAATAGATTTATGGCTTTGTTTTAAGTAACTTTATCTCAATTATTGACAACTTATTTGTGGGAAAGTTTTTGTGTGTTTGGAAAGTATACAAGAAATAGGAAATAGATTGGTAATTGTTTTATCAATATATGGAAATTAATTACAACCATGTCATTTTATGAACACTCGAAACGACTTAATTGATTAGACTTTTGGGTCTAAACCTAGGGCTAATAGAGTACATGTATAAACCTTATACAATAGTCTGGTGCCAGTGATCTAAAGGGTCTAAAGTTTTGTAACGTGTTATCCAAACGTGTTCTCCATTCGCGACAATATCTCTGAATATCTCTGCGATTGTGTTCACAGTTTTCAGACGACAAACATTTTTGGCTACAATTTGGCCTCAAATTGTGTCGAATGGAAGTCAATATAAGAACCAAAGATCTCTGTTAGGCGTCGAAGAAATTTATTATAGACTTATCCTCTATTGATAACAACTCCTGTCGTATACAACACTATTGATGTTCACATCAATTGCCTATAAAAGCCAACCCCTAAGAGAGCAATGATTTCATTATAGTTTGGATTCGCTTCCGATAACTTTGTGCAAAGTCTTAAGGTTTCCATTAAAACCAATTCAAGTATTATAGCATAATATATATTAATAGATATATATATAGTAACAAAGTTTTTCAACGCTAAAAATGAATGCTTTAATTGTTTTAATTGTCTTAAGTGTCTCTTATGAATGTAAGTTGAAGAATATTCACCACATTTGTGTCACATTTAACTAAACAAATGTTTTCGTTGAATAGGTTTTGGTTATGTGTTGCGGACGGGCGATGACAGGGAGAACCGTATCATCAATTTGAAAGATATTAACACAAAACTACACGAAACGCAAGTGATGTTAATGATGAAGAAGTTGAGGCCAAAGAGGGACGCAATGGATAATCTAATCTACGAAGTGGTGGCCGACGCTGAGAAGGATGAGCTGGAGTCGGATTACGACAAATCCAACTTCAAAGCCGAGTCCATAAGGCATAGGCTTAATGAGCGCATAGAACACATCGATTTGGTTCTGACACATCTGAAGGACATTAAGAAACACTTCGATAGTGTCCACAAAATGGCCAAAACTTTGGTCGAATCGGACGCCACCGCAGACTTTGTCAAGAAGTTCGCGATCGACCAGTTGAACGATTCCGTACAGAATGTCGAGAAATGCGATCAGTGCTGGAGTTAGACATACCATCCCATCACTAGACCAGACCATCACTAGACAGACCATCACTAGACCAGACCATCACTTGTCATAGCCATCGGATTCCTTGTTATTATTGTAAATACTCATCGTTTTTGATGAATTCATAATTTATTTATAAAAAGTTCAAATTTTTTGTACATTTCTTTTTTGCTATTATTTTCTTGTTTTAATCGCTTCTATCATTCAATTCCTCGACATTTAATTTAATTATAATATTATTACAAAACTAATTTAAATAGAAATAAAACATATTTTCTAACTTAAAAGTAAGCCTTTATTAGTATTATTAAAAGTTTTAAATCGACTATAAATAAGTTGTTTACGAGATTGAAATTTAAAATCATTGCAGTTATCAGGCAAGTGTAGCCAAATATTTCCACATATTTTTGAATCAATGTTACTATTATTTACGTCAAGAAGTGCCTTAAAAACAGGAAATTTCTATCGAGAATATTCTCATTGTAAAGATGAAACTATCGATAATTCTGGTGTCAATTCATAAATTTTTGAACGTTTAGTACTTTTCCCATCCCATGAAAAACTAGAACAGAAACTCCAGACAAACAGAGAATTATAGATAAGGTATTGATTTTGCAAATCGTGTAATCATATGCCTTCCCAATGAATAATATCTCAATTGTTTTGCAACTAAAAGCCAGTATTTTGCGGAATATTTATGAGAAAACATAGATTTTGTATAAATCACAGATGTTATCTTATAGTTGTGACAAGAATTTAGATAAAATGTCGAGTGGATTTGTATTCATTTTAATCTTTAATAAATGTTAATAATTAGAAAATTATGAAAATGTAGTGAATTTAAGTGTAATTAAGTGAATGTCATTTATTTTGGATTTAATAATAACATATGTACTGAAAATCTACTTAAAAAGTGCTGATAGTATTTCTTTTAGATAACCTTTGTTAAACCAATTTTAAAAAGATGTACTCATTTTGAAAGTAATCTACCGGTATTATGATTCATAGTTTTATTATAATTTGTACTTGGTTAATTTTTTACCTAAAAATAGTTATAAAAATTGATTTAAAGAAACTTAAATGCATAGAACTTTTATAGTTTTTACATACAGTATTTTTATGCATGAATAACCTAATACTTAAAAGTTTTAAGTTATAACTATACCTAACAAAACTAAGTTCTGTCATAACAATTTTTAAAATTAAAATTTATAAACAATTATAATTATAATTATAAATAAAACTTTTAAAATACTAATTTTAATTTAATCGAATGATTGTATGAACATATAAATAAAAATACATAAAATTTCTAAAATACATTATTATAATATATTCATTAATGCTTAAATAAACTATTGCTTTAATAATGATAGTCTATAAGATTAATAAGTTATCATTTACTGTAGACTTCTTAATTAAATAATTTTTTATAAGACGATACACAAGCTTAATAAAGTAGTATAATATTTGAAATAACTTAAAATATTGAGTGATATAAAAAAAAGTAATCATAAGCCTGATTATGAATGTTAAGACAAATTTTACATGATATTACATGAGTTGTAAGTATTGTTTTGACAGATTTGGCATAAGTTTTGATATTAATTATCATATCAAATGATTTCAAATATACAGTGCATTTGGAAAACAAATTCTGTATTTTTAAAGAGTTAAAGGATTTGAAATAATTATTTTATTTTTAAAAACAATTTTTGTTATAATAAAAAGTCATTTATATTTATAAATAACTCCAGTATTTGCTGATCAATATTAAAGGTTATAATTCTATATTAAAAGTATTAAAAGTACATATTTCTTAGGTTTGAAATTAAATTTGAGATTTAAATAAATCTCATTATACCGGTAATTAATTTTTAAAAATTAAATAAACATTTTAACAAAATAAGTTTAATCTTAATTATTTGTAAAAAATAAGACTAATAGTCTACCGCTAAATACTGCTATTAAGGCAAGTCTGTATTTTAACAAATTATGCTTATATTCTGCAAATAATCAGATATTAAAATCACTTTTAAGTGAACTTTAAAATAACTTAAAAGTGGTTTAAAATCGGAAAGTTTTTACAAACAGAATTGGCACTAATTATCTTACGAGTGATAATTGAAATATCACTGAAAGATTATTTTAAAAATTATATTAACGTATGAACCGTTAGAATATAGTTTAAGTTAAAAATCTGAGTAAAAAATAAAATAATTTACTAAATGAGGCGCCGTTTGATTAAAATCTTACTTAAAACTAAATTTTAAAATCAAAATATTTATAGAAAATATGTCAATCCCTGGCCATTATATACATCACGAGCATAGACTTTGAATCTTTTTTACATGCCGTGGATTTGCGTCAATTTTTAAGTAATATTTTCTTTGATCTTATTTCGCATAAATTCATATTTATTTTGAGATTAAATTAAGTTTTAGAGTAAATATTTCGTAACAAGTATCATAATTTTATGAATAATAACAATTAATCAATAGATTTCAATATGCCGTTCAGTTATTTACTATTTTTAGGACTTTATCTGTAAATATTTATATCAATGGTAATAATAAATTACTAATAATGTTTTATTTATAATTTAATCTACAAAAATATTGTCTATAATGTACATAATATTCATTGTATTATTCCTAAGTAATATTCTGTTGTTATTGTTTGTGGTAAATGTAAATGAATGGTAAATATCCTACATGTGAAATACATGTAAAACTACTAACCAAGAAAATTATATACATTATTGTAAACCTCCAGTAAATATTCACTAGAAAATGAGCAAAATTTCTTTTTTTAGTCTAAAAAATCAGTAAAAATCATTGAATTCATTCACACTGTTAGAGATAAGACAGAGAGTGACAAAAAACTGAATAAACTTTTTTTGGCAAAAATTTCAAGCAAAATATTGGGACAAAAGAAGTGTTTGTCGATCACAGGAATCCTATACCAAAAAGTCTGGTATCGATTGGCGCCGGAGTTATCATCGATTTCTAATTGCATGAAAAATATATCACAAAATTTTATATTTAATAACCGATAGAGAGATATGTGTTGTTTGGAGAGACATCGCAACTACTGTACGCTATTTTACAGTCGTTTGCATTTTTTAACGATTAAATGTCGAGTGCTTTTCGAGCCTCTAGTTTGGGGTCAATTGCATTGTTTTGTCGATTATATGATACTATGATTGCATTGAACCACAGTGTGGTCCATATGTCACATGAGATTTCATACCTGATTTGGCACTGGATTTATAGCTTAAAACTTTACAACATATCACTCCATAGATGAGCTAATTATCAGTTTTATCCTAATTTCTAAATATCCGGTCGACTGTTGTCTTCGCTCTTATCACGAATGGCATCGAAATTATATATTTCCCTAAATTTGTCTCTCATTTGGCACTCAATTATTAAATAAATATTATTTTTACATAATTTTCAAAATGAGTTAAAGCGTTGAGAAATTGAAAAATATTTATTTATAATTATGTAAACATTTCGGAAATGCTTAATGACTTTACTCTACACATGCCTTACATTAACGAATCAATTCTTGAATCATTTCATTACTGTTAGTCTAAAACCCAATAGCATTGAGATCGCAAACTGTAGTGGTCTATGGTTTACCATTTTATCGCTGAATACAACTCGAGTTTTTGTTCACTTTTAGCGCAAAACTTGGAAAATATTTTCAAACAAACAAAAGTGATGTATGACTTTGAATAGTAAGTGATGGATAGTTTAATGTTCACTTAATTCAGGAAAGGTTTATGTTAATAGGGAAAAGCCTAGGTTTAACCACTGAATAATTAGGCATTACTTGTAAGCATTCAAATGAAACAAATACTACAGAAAACAGAACAGAAATATAGAAAAGAAAAATATATTTTTATTCACGATTTGTCAGCTCTTATAATAAAATTATGATTCAATAAATATTACAATTCATTTAAATTACAATTTCTATCCGATATAATAAACATTGAAAAGCGTTGAGAAATTGAAAAATATTTATTTATAATTATGTAAACATTTCGGAAATGCTTAATGACTTTACTCTACACATGCCTTACATTAACGAATCAATTCTTGAATCATTTCATTACTGTTAGTCGAAAACCCAATAGCATTGAGATCGCAAACTGTAGTCGTCTATGGTTTACCATTTTATCGCTGAATACAACTCGAGTTTTTGTTCACTTTTAGCGCAAAACTTGGAAAATATTTTCAAATAAACAAAAGCGATGTATGACTTTGAATAGTAAGTGATGGATAGTTTAATGTTCACTTAATTCAGGAAAGGTTTAAGTTAATTAACAGGGAAAGCCTAGGTTTAACCAGTGAATAATTAGGTATTACTTGTAAGCATTCAAATGAAACAAATACTACAGAAAACAACAGAAATATAGAAAAGAAAAATATATTTTTATTCACGATTTGTCAGCTCTTATAATAAAATTATGATTCAATAAATATTACAATTCATTTAAATTACAATTTCTATCCGATATAATAAACATTGAAAACAGAAATATAGAAAAGAAAAATATATTTTTATTCACGATTTGTCAGCTCTTATAATAAAATTATGATTCAATAAATATTACAATTCATTTAAATTACAATTTCTATCCGATATAATAAACATTGAAATATAATAATAATAGGAAACTCTATGCACTAAACGCAACGATTAATGAGACACAAGAAAAAACAATCGAAACAAAGTTATCTCAAAAAATATAAGATCATTGAAAATACGGAAACAAATACAAAATGGATTTGATTTGTGTTTTCAGAGACAGAGCGAGAGGTTCGACAAGATTAAGGAGACAACGAAAATATATATTAAAATAGAAATATCTGTGGTTTCAATGATTTTGATCGCTATTATAGCCGTTACTATGCGTGGAATCGAGAGAGTTGTTAATGATTTGTTGCGGTTTATGTTTATTGAACTTAATCTCAAAAACCTCTTGAATCGCTTGTCGAAAGCATTGGAAGTTATAGTCAATGAGTCCCTGTTTGTCGAAATTGTCTTCCCTTAAGATACAGACGAGCGCTAAGAACTTGTTGACTTCGCGCAGATATAAAACGGTTCCCGAATTCAATTTGATGGTCGACGAGGAACTGCCGTCGAATGTGCTGTTCTCCCCGTCCTCTTTGACACTGTAGTTAAAGTCACTACAAGTGCACACAAACCGTTAGTTCACACATGAACACCACTCGTACGCGAGACAGTACTCACCCGTATATACAGGAGATGTCGATCACCACGTCTATCATATCGCAACACAACTCGTATGACTGCATGTCTACCGGCGAGTAATCGGTGGCGATATATATCTTCGACACGACATCAAACAGAAACGCCTTTTCTATACCAGAGTTCTATTGGGTGTAAAGGAAATCATACATCAGTTCCAAACATACATCCATTTGTCAATCAATTACTGTAATGAATATATTGAGTAGATTCTCGAGTGTTGGCAACTGTGGGATCAGCTTCTGGACCACTTTGGAAAAGGCTTCGAATATGGAGTGATCGTAAATAGACGTCAAGTAAAAGCTGAGGAGAATATTCTCGTCGCCGCTGTCCATCAGATCCTCATTAGCCCTCTGATGGATATCTCTTTGGGTTTCAATCTTGTGGTCGTCGGACAGTCCGTCCACTTTGTGAATAAACACTTCAAACTTAATGTCTGCGTTCACCTGATGGGCCTTTTTGACGGTGTGGTGCAGTTTCGACAGCGCCTCCATGTAGTCATCCTATCAGTCAATTCACGCAATTATCATCTCTTATCGACAACTCTAACTCAGCACTCGATGGCATACCTGAGCGTCGATTACGAACACAAGAGCACCGCATCCGCCGAAGATGTTCTCGGAATCAAAGGTGGAGTCAAAGAAGTCTATTTGTCCGGGAAAGTCCCATATTGTGAACGACACGAACGAACTGTTGCTGATGTCTGGAGTTTGTAAATTCAATAACAAATTAATGCAAACAAAACTATTTCATAACATTCTTGTTATGTAAACACATATCAAATGCATTCATTGCCAGACTGTATAGTATTTGTACCGGTAATGCAAATTATGTATCAAATGTATGATTACTATAGTTATTGTAATCATATTTATATTATATTTCAAAACAAATACTTTTCTCGTAAAAAATATGATATGTTTTGGTCTATAAAATGCATTCAATATGAGTGACTGTGGATCTAATGGATCTAATGGTTACCGTCTTTGACTATCTTATTAGTGCTCTCAAGAAATAAGGTCTCATTCGGTGACATCTTATGGAAAACCACTTTCTGTATCGACGATTTGCCACTCCTTAGCAAATGGACAAAAGCAATGGTTAGACACGGAGTGGCCATCAGTGGCGCAGGTGTGCAGGGATGGCATACCGGCGCAAACCCATGATAAGGATGCGAGGCTTGACTTCGCCGGTGAGGGCCCTGTCGTTCACATCATTGGATTGGATGTCATTCTCGTCGTCCGGATATCCGAAACCCTTTGGGAACGATCCGATCATAAACCTCTCGTCCTCTTCATACCTGTCCTCCTATTCACACAAATAGCATCAGATCCTCACCTCAAGACACGGATTATCACTTAATCTCTATTATAAACACCACTTTTAAAGCCATTATTGTAAACAAGTTTTTGTCTACAAAAATAGGACTTAAATATGAAAATGTGTTTTAAATAGACATTGAAATGAGTGATATAAGCAATATAAGCAAGCATAATTACATTGTTAATCATGGCACCAATCAATGGGTTTCAAGTGATTTACACAACGACTTGAAAACAATGGTAGCGTTGATAGCAATCAATGAAATGTTGTTTTTTGGGCTCAATTTGTGGGCGATTTGTGTCTCACTTTACACTCAATTCAATCAAAACAATCAATTAGTTTATGCCTCAGAATCATGTGATGTTTGAATATATAATTACTCATCACACATACTGTCACACGTTTTACCTGTCTTTTTGTACCCCTTTTCACACAACTTGTCGTTATTTTATTAAATAAATACATTAATTTATTTTTAATTATTTTATGTTTAATTACATTATAACATCAAGTGTAATTAATGAAAAATTTTAAGATTATAAAACATTGAGCTGTTAATTTTATAAATTAAAAATTAGTTTTAAAAACCCTCACATAGGGGGCAAACACCCACTCATGTAACTCGTAATTATGTTTATGACTGGTTGTGTTGTTTTCAATGCTGTAAACAGGGATTGTTTGCTAATAATGACTGGAAATACTGTACGACTGAAAGCTTTTGCTGAAAAAGTGATGAGAAGTTTGATTTGACTTTTGAAATATCCGGAAGAGTTTCCTGAGAAATGGATTAACGATTGGATTTCTATTCTGTAATCTGTTTGCTATGCAAGTGGACAGTCATTATAAGGACAATGAACTCTATAGCCTGTCTCACTGTCCACTTATTATCCCTTTCCAATACTTCCTCCTTAAGTGGAAAATTTTCATATAAAAGGCAAGACTTTAGAGCTCTTGGAAAGCATTCAAACTTTGGTTTTCCATCAAAAAGTTTCTCTAACTTTACATAAAACTTTGAATTCAACCAAAACTCGTATTATAATGAATGCGAAAGTGTTATCATTTGTTTTGGCCGTCGTTTGTGTGTCCAATGGACAGGAAATGAGCGGAAATCAGTTGTCGGAAACGATTCCAGCGGTGGTCAAGAAGACTGTGGACGAGTCGGTCGGCGTTCACAACATCCCAAACATCCGAAGCGACAACGGATCGCCTATACGTAAGCACTCATTATTGCCATCATTTTGTCACAAAATTAACTTTTATATCATTGTCTGTAAAGTTGTGATCGAAAGCGTGGCCAACAGACCGTCCAGTCCTGTGGTTCTCAATCCCGTCCAGACTCTGGTCCTCTCAAAGCCCGTCCAAAGCGGCCAAAACACTGAGAAGATCGTGGAGGTGGCGGTCCGACCGCCGCAAGTGGTCGTCCAGCAGGAGACCATCAAAGAGCCGGTCGTCCAGAACACGGTTCCGGTGGTTGTGTCGACTCACAGGCCGTGTCAGGTGTTCCGCGGGAAAGGCGAGTGCCTCACGATTCCCAACTTCTTCAGCTGTATCCGTGACGG